GCCCAAGCTGGACTCGATAATCAGCTAATGATGCCTGCCCTTCCATCATGTGCGAACTTGATTCTTAAATCCACTGGGGTACGACAGCACATTTGTAAGAGATCATACATCTCTGGGCAGCACTGGACGTGCGGGCTCGCTTCCGGCCGCCCAGCGCGTCAATGGAAAGCGCAAGCAACACCGAGCTGTAGAGGAATTTCGGATAACTACAAGCCTGTACAATAGTTCAAAACACAAGCTCGAGTAGCGGCACAAGGAGGCGGGAACTCGGGATGGCGGCCAACGGCGGTGAGGCCGAGGCAAATGCGAGCAATCACACAAGCTATAAACAAGGGTGACGAGGATGATCGAGAGGATAGCGAAAGACACCCGGCGACCAGCTTCCACGATTGAGCGCGAATCGCTCTCCGGGGGAAGGTCAGATATAGACAGTAAATTGGAAAAACTGCCGTTGCAATGGGCAAGTGATAAAATCCGCTGACCCTGTCGGCGTGTGTCAGAGACTCTTCTCTTTGAGTCGTCGTCGTCGTCGCCGCCGCCCTTGACGCTGTTCCATCTCAGTCGTCGTCTTCGTCGTCGTTGTCGACGTCGTCGCTGTCGCCGCTCCTCCCTTGTCCCTGGGCGCTCCTCCTCAAGCCTTCCAGCCAACAGGAAACCGAGCAACGTCGTAATCGAGTGGAAGGGAAGCCTCTTCCCTTTGATCCCTTCCCCGCTGGTGGGTCGGGGTTTTGGGGGGGGGGGGATGGGTGGGGGGGAGGTGTGGGAGGGGTGTCCCGGGAGCTGTGCCCCCCCCTCGGGAAGAGCGCCTCTCCCTGGGACGAGCTTTCTCCTTCGATTCCTTGCCTCCCCGACGCCTCAGGCTCACTTCTACAGCGGCTTGCTCCAACAAGGGGCATGAAACAGCCCCAGATCGCTCCAAGACGGCACGCGAGAGTCCCAATAGGCCCCACAGAGGCGAATGTCTACGAGTTCCACTTTTTGTAAGATGTGTGTTCGCGTCCTCGCCTTGTCGGGCTTCCGACGCTTCAAAGCGGCCCAGGAATATGTTTGACATCCGCTGCCAAGGACCCGCCAGGCGGGCAAACAACTGCGGGAATTAAAACAACAATGCTGTCCAAATCAACTGTGACCCCCTTTCCTCTTTGGATGGGATCCATGGCTGAGTTTGGACCCTCATTCACTTCTACGGGCATTCTGGGAGGACTAGCTCTTGTCGGCAGGGCCTCCGTCAGCCTGAGCACGAGCACGGGAGGAGGGTTGCGCCTGACAAGGGTCCCCAAGCCACGCAACTGCCCACAACAGGTGTACGTAAACAAGACAGCGGGCAAAAGCAAACACAACTGCCATCGCTGAAGTCCGCAGCGATGCATGTGTGGCCAGGGTCTCGCAGCCCCTGCGGCGACACCTTGAGCTTACAGGCTCACCTCCCAGGCGGAGGCTCAAACACAGAGGAAAGCGATCTGTGCACATACACCGATTCTGGCCAGGTCCATCCTGACACCAGGATCTGTGCATATACGCCCTCCTGCCTGAGGCAGGAAGGCATATGCATCAATCCTGGGCCAAGAATGGGCCTGGCCAAGGTCGGTGCATGTGCACAATGCTCGTCCGATCAACCGAAAACGAGAGCCCTTGAGGCACTCGCTACGCTGCCAGAACTTGCCGACCCAGCACCAGGAGCGCCCAGGGACCTGACCCCGAGGAGGCCCAGAAAGCGCAGGACGCTCCCCAGAGACCCCGTCTAGGGTGGTCCTGGGCCAGAAGTCCAGGAGATGGACGGCAAGGTCGGCGACAACCTTGAAAACAAAGACCAACAAGAAAAAGGTCTTCCGTCAAGGAAAAGGGAAGAGGCGTATGGAGGTTCGCGCCAGTCTTCGCAACCTCGTCCGCACCGCTGTTGCCACGAATTCTGATCCGCTCTTCCCAGTCGAAGCTGGGATCTTCACTCTGGAAACGCTCTCGAGACGACCACTAGCGTTGGGGACTGCGTAGCTACAGGGCCTAGGAGAGCTGCTGGGAGTGCCAGCAAAATCGCCCCACGACGGCCCCATAGGCTGCCGAAAGCGCCCGAAAACGGTCCAAGACGGCCCCAAGACCGCCCAAAAGGCTCCCAAGATGGCCGACTGGGGCCCCGAGGAGGCCCCAAGGAGGCTCGCGAGAGGGGGAACACCAACCAGCATGTTGAGCACTCTGCCCCCAACTGGCCCCCCAGGAGGCCCCCCAAAAGGCGCCCACAAAGCTCCCAAGGAGCTCTCAAGAGGCCCAGGAAAGCCCCCCAAACGCTTTCAAGACAACCTCTAGAGGGGGGTAAAATCAATGATCTTCCCAATCAAGCTTTTGAGCATTTTTCGTCGTCGCCGTCGCCGTCGCCGTCGCCGCCGCCGTCGCCGCCGCCGCCGTGGTCGTCGTGGTCGTGGTCGTGGTCGAAGTCGTCGTCGCCGTCGCCGTGGTCGTCGTCGTCGCCGCCGTGGTCGTGGTCGTGGTCGTGGTCGTGGTCGTGGTCGTGGTCGTGGTCGTGGTCGTGGTCGTGGTCGTGGTGGTGGTCGTCGTCGTCGTCGTCGTCGCCGCCGCCGCCGCCGCCGCGGCCGCCGCCGCCGCCGCCGCCGCCGCCGTCGTCGTCGTCGTCGTCGTCGTCGTCGTCGTCGTCGTCGTCGTCGTCGTCGTCGTCGTCGTCGTCTTTCAGGGTCGGCGGTGCCGGCCGTAAGGCCTGCACAATAGACAGGCGCTTGGAAAAGCCTGCCGCTGAAGTGAGCAAGTGATGAAGTTCACCTGTGAGCATTGCCCGGTGGTCCAGGCCGTCTGTGCGGACAGGTCGGTCCGGTGCGTCTCGAAGGGGCGTTTATCCAGTGGTGGGAACGAGAAGCCTCACGCTCGCTGTGCCTATCCACCGACAATCGCCCAAAATGTGGCGGAAAAGTCCTGCCCCGTGTCCTGACCACGGGCTCTGCCATCAGTACCTCCAGTCGGAACAGTGGACGCGGGACCTCGCGGTGGGGGTGGAGTTCGTCATGCGAAGCGGCCCATGACGGTCCGATCCTGGTACGCGGCCGCGGTCGCTGGATTCCCTAGGGGGGGGGTCCCTGCGAGGGGTGGGCTCGCAGCTGTCGTGTTGCAGTTATACGTCTGAGGCCCAAGCTGGACCAACGCAGTGCCCACGTGGTGGGAGAGAACGATCAAGACCCCAATCGTGGCTTCGTTTTGCTGTCGGCCAGGTAAGATGTGACGACGACAGCGATGTAGAAGGAGCAAGGATGGAGGAGAGGAAGACGAGGCATAGCCAGTGCAGTTGAAGAAGCTTCTACTCGAATTCTGATTTCACTTCGCTTTCGCTTCGGGGAGCAGTTATACACATGTTCAATGTTTTTTGTCTCCCTGGGGCCTGCTGTAGGACTTCTTCGGCTCTCTTGGGGTCCCCTTCGGACTCTTTGGAGTAATCCAGCTTTTTACCCAGCTTTCTTCATGTGTTTCATCACCTAAGACGGAGTTCTTGTTATTACCTAGGCGCGGCCGACTCCCTTCACGCAATCTCCTCCTCCTCCTCCTCGCTCAGACCCACTCATGCTCAGACTCACTCGTGCTAAGACTCGCTCATGCTCAGACTTTCTCTCGCACTCTGCCCCACTCGCACCCACGCCCACTCGCACTCGGACTCATTCATGCTCTTCAGACTCATCGAGACACGGACGAGCGAGGCGCTGCTTTCAGCAAGCGCGGCACTCGGGCACCCCAAAGGGGAGCGAGCCAGAGGGTATGCCACTCCACTCTTCGTGCCCAACTTGTGCGGGTGCCTCGAACGGTCTGCTTGCTTCGGCCCCCGCAAACCTTTTTTTTTTTTTTTCTCTCTCTCTCTCTCTCTCTCTCTTTTGGTAGCACAGCGCTTACCGTGACTCGGCAGGCGTGGCAATCGGGCACCCCAAGAGGGAGCCGCTGGGGGGTGTGGCACTCCATTCTTCGCGCCCAGGTCATGGGGATGCTTCGGGCGGTTTGCCCGTTTAGCCCCTCCCCCCCAGGCTTTCCTATTTTGGTGGTCCACTGCTTATCACAATTCAGCAGGCCTTCCGAGCCCAAAAGCTGTTCCTCGTCTCGGCACCTTGACTGTGCTCCGGGATCGGACAGGGGAGCGAGCTCCCACTCGGATCCGGCCGCCCCGCTGTACTCCCCCGTGGCTCAGGAAGTGGCGAACGTGCTGCGGGGCCTGTGCCTTAACGCAGTGCCTCCCTCCCGAACGGCGATTCGGTGGTGCTGGATTACGGCTGCCCCAAGGTAGCCCGTCGAGAACTTCAAACAGTCTCCAAACGTTAGCCTTCTGCCGTTGGCGCTCCACGCCGGGGTCTGGCAGGCGCAGGCGGATGGGCTTGGGTGACTACCCTGTACCCTATGTTATAATATCCACCTCGGTGACTTGCACGTGGGCTTGAAGGAACACGCACGCAAGCGTCGAGGGATGCGGTCGAGCTCTCAGGGCGGCGGGAAAAACGGAGCGCGCTGTGCAAGAGCCGTGCTGCGAGCGCCGCCCGCCTCGGCAGCTGGGTCTCCCTTGTAACACCGAGGAGACCCCTGCCCGATCAAGCGTCAGACCGGATGGCTGTGCCACACGACTTCGCGGGTCGCGCGACCTCCACCGAGAAGCATAGCTCCCCGGCCCCTGAACCAGGAGGCCCAACCGGGAAGAACAAGCTGCGCAACCACGCACTTTCGGAGCTCCGCGTGGGTTTCTCGCATCGGAACTGGACCTCCCTCAATGGCGCGAGGAGCGCGCTGGGGGCGGCGCCGGAGGCGCCACCAAGGGGGTCCAGCGCCGACCCAAGAAATCCGCGCGGAGCTCCAACAGTTGTTTATTCAATTGTTCGCCTTCGAGGCTGAACGCGTGATCATTTTTGCCCCTATGCGGGTGACCCAGGATTGGGGTGCAGCGCGTTCACGCTGCAGTGTGCAACGTCTCCGCTCGTCAAGTGTAGGGGCTCACGAGCTCGGGCTGCCAGAAGCGACGTGCCAGCTCGTCAGCTTGGTGTACTGAACATTGGAGTCATAGAGGCTGTGATCACCACGTTGTCACTTTCGCCGTTGTCGTGGTCGTGATCGTCACCATGACCCATGAAGCTCTGCACAAGGTCACGCATGTCCTCACCCTGTGAGATGTCAGTAAGATCACGCGGGTCCTGGTCATTCAGCCACTTGATGAAATTATGGGCGTATTTGCTGGCAAACGTGTGGGCTTTGGGGTTGAGACGTGCCAGCTCGCCGAACTTCTTACCGTCGATCGCCAATTCGTCCCCGTCCTCGAGCGCGGTAAGCAGGCCGCGGTGGAGCCACTTCGTCCAGAGCACGGGCTCCGCGATCCAGTCCTCGTTGTTCTTCACCGCCTCCCTGCAGACGTTTCCCGACACGTCGACTCTCGAGTACTCGGAGCTCCCCTCCACCACGATAAAGAGGTGCGTCGCCGCCTCTAGAAGGGCCAACAAAATGTGAACCAAAACATCTGGCGTCTCGATTTCTTCGAAATACGGGCGCCGACTTCTCGACCACTTCCCCTGGACCGGTTCTGCATTCCGAGTCGTGTTTTAAAGTTCCCGAGGCCCGGTGAGGGCCCAGAGAAGCCGAACGCTAAAAAACCTTCGTCTCGATTTTTTCGAGACGCCCGATGCGTGGAGCATAAACTTTCGGAGGTCCGAGCGGATTTCTTGGATCTGCGCTGGTCCCCCCTCCCTGGCGCACGGAGCGCACCAAGGGCGGCGCCGGAGGTGCCACTGGTGGGGGCTCAGCGCCGATCTAAGAAATCCACGCAGGGCTCCGAAGCGTACGCGTGCTCTTCGGGCCTCCCCGGGGTAGAACAGGAAGTCGCCTCTGGCGACAAGCTTGTGGCTGATGCCTGCGTTCGCCAGGCGCTGCGCGGTGACGGTCGACGCATCGCACAGCTTGGCCAGGAAGGGGTGCACCTGAAGCTGGGCGACCGCCATCTCGCACTGCAGCTCCGAGAAGAGCTGTTCGGACAGCAGGCACATGAGCCTTTCGCTGTTCTTGCTTGCTTTTTGTATGTTCTTGCTGCTGCTGTTTTTATCAAATCATTTCTGAATGATAATTATTGTGTCATCCCCCCTGTGACCATAATGCCTTTTCAATAAAAATACTCCTCCCGGGGCTCGCACAGGGTTGTCTATCGGGGATGGTTTGTCGTCACCAAACTGCGCCCCTGGCCCCCGACTTATAACAACAACGGCTCCCGCCTGATACTTCGTCACACATTACTCCAGAAACACGTTTTCGCGCGGTCTTGCGTGGAGCTTCCTCGCAATCTCTTCAAGCGCCACGCCCTCGACACTAAAGAATCGCGCTCTCACTCTTTCCCTCACGATTTAATTGGAAATCACGCTATCGCTCGAGGCTTCTTCGCGATTCATGCAGAACTCACGCTTCAGCAACCCGCCTGCTCGACTTGGCCGCCTGGGCCCGCCTTCCGACCCGGTCGGTACGGTTCTCGCCCGATCAACCCGTTTGGTTCTGCCATGTGTTTTCGGCTCCTCGGCCTCCTCTTGCTAAATTTTCCGGTCTTCAATCCTTCTCCCTCTCCCTGGCATCCGTCCTCCCTTCCCCGGTGTAACGTGCTGCGCCCATGACACGTGGCAGGTAAGGAAGATATCCTCCCAAGAGGGGGTACGACCGAAAACGAAAAGGGCGGGTATCGAGGGCTTGGGATATACGTCTTGAATGGCACGCGAACAGGTAAGAGCGAATTGTCTTAAACTGATTGAACTCTCACCCTCGAAGAATTATTATTGTTGGTCCCCCCACCAGTGCATATTGTATTTTTCAATTGAAATGCCCCCTCTCGGGGCTCGCTCGCACCCTAGCTTCGATCAGGGAAAATCTTCGCGCTCAAACTAAGCCCCTGGCGCCCCCGCTACAACAACAACGGTTCCCGCCGGATATTTCTCTCCAAATTTTTCTCTTGCACAGAGTATCTAGAGCTCCGACCACTTTATTATCTTGCGCAGGGTGTCTAGAGCTCTGGCGACTTTAGTTCCGCACGGCACCGGTCGATGCAGCCCCCAGGCCCCCACCTCCCAGCGCGCCCCCTCCGCACCAACTTTCTAAAGCAGCCATGCCGAAGCATCCCCTCGGCCCTCCGCATCCGTCCCCCACCAGCCAGCGCAGCCAACCCGACATCCAGCGCGCCTCCTCGGCACCGGCCCCACCAACCAGCGCGCCCCCACCGCTTCATCTCGGCACGGCACCACTCCCACCAGCCAGCTTGCCCACTCCGCCCTGACCGCTTTATTTTGGCACTGCACCACCAGCCAGCGCCCCTCCCCCACCAGCCAGCGCAGCCAGCCCACCAGCCACGCGCCCCCTCCGCCCCGACTTCTTTATTTCGGCACGGCACCGCCCTCTCCCCCGCACCCCCCGCGCAGCCAGCCCCTCCGCCTCGTCCCCGGGCCTGTAAACCAAACGCAAGGCGACCAAGCGCCCCCGCAAGCAAGCGGAGCAAAGCGCGCGAGAATCCGCAAGGGCCACGCAATCAAACCCGGAGAAATCGCCTGACTCCGCTTCGATCAGCCACGCGGGGAGTCCCGAGAGGGGGGGGGCGCGACGTGCGGCTTCGAGTTGTGACGTCCGCCCTGTGAACATCAGTTGGCACGTGCAGGCCTCCTAGGTAGAGGGGCAACATAGTGCATGCTGAGGACGTGGGAGAGCCCCAAAACATGCTGAGGACGTGGGAGAGCCCTGGAGAGCCACTCCGGCCGTGAGCAGCGGCGCCCAGGGCAACTTTGGAGTCCAACATCACTGGAATCCGCATATCGGGGTACCGAATGCAACAGTGCTTACAGCGGCTCTTAAAGACGGCTGTCTCCAGGATCTGTATGTATGTGGCGTGGCGTGCTCAATTCGAATGTGTAGGCCAGCGGAAGCGCAGGGCTTCCGATAGCTCAGTGATCCACCGAGGAGCGACGGGTGGGTCCATAGAGGGAAGACAGACCAAGGTCAGCGTGCAGCTGGGTGAGCTCAGGCCCCAGAGAAACCCCGCGGCTCAGTGCGGCAAGCAGCCGACGATCGTGCAACGCACTGTGCCAACCGCCGCGCTCGGACCTGCGCCATAGCTCCGCCAGAGGTGCGGGCTGACGGGCGCACGGACGACACCGTCCCGCACAAGGGACGCGCCCGTGCCGAAAACTTCGGTGGCATAGCCCGCGCAAAGGTCGGTCGTGACCGTAGAGGCCAGAAACGTGCAAGCCAAGAACTCGTCGCGCACGGAAATGGGCAGCTAATACTCCGCGTCGTTTCCTATCTCGAGAGTAGAAAGGAAGGGGTAGGTGTGAGTGAAGACCGACAGAAAAGGTCGGCGATATATAGGAACACCTGTACCCAACACCCCACCAGCAACGCCAACACGGCGTGCGTCGAACGACCGAGGTACTCTTGGATCAACGTGAATCTGCACAAAGCCACCGTCCGAACGAGCGGGGCGCAGACAATACCGATCCTACATTCCACCTCGGCGCCGACGACGACCTTGTGGATGCTTTCCAGGATGCTGGATGAGGCCCGCGCCGGGATACCCGCGGACGCAGGCGGCGAAAACCACCAGATCGCGACGAGACGGGCCATCAGGCCGTGGGCCATCACCTGTCCAGGAGAGCTTCTAGAAGCTCGTGAGATCGTCGGTTTTGAGCATCTCGACGTATGAACCGCGCGGAAAATGGGCGCGATGCACAACTTGCTCCTCAGGGCAAGGAACCCCGAAACTGCGCAACACACCCTCGTGAGTGGCATTGGCGATCTCAACCGCCATGTTATCGCCCATCGCGAGCGCGTGCAGGCCGCGCGAATTGCCGTTACTGCCCAAGAGAGTGTGTGTGGCCCCTGGGCCATCTATGCCCGCCTCGCCGGCGCGGCCGCCTCGCCCCGCTCCGCCCCGCTCCGCCCGCCTCCCGCCCTCCTCCCCCCTGCTGGGCTCGCCTGCTCGCCGACGCTTTCCTGGCTCCGGCCGCCCGCCTCTGGCTCTTTGCCGAGGTCTCCTGCCCGCCCAACTTTAGCGTGGCGCTTCGGCCCCGTTGCCAAGCGCCGCTCTTCTTCGCCCGCCGTTCCGGCGCCGCGGACTCCTTCCACGCTGCCCCGCCCCGCCTCCGCCGCTTCTGGTCCTTGCCCAGCTCGCTGCCCTGTCGCCCGTGCGGCCGCTGCGCGCTGCCTGCCCCGCTGCCGCGGGGCCACTGCCCCGTAGGGGCCGGCCGTCTTCCCGCTCCTTTCTTCACACCGCGCACGCGCCGCTCTGGCCGTGCGGGCTCCCAACGCGCTGGCGAGTTGCCGAGCCGCTGCGACCGAATGGTGTACTTATATACAAGACTGCAGTGGCGCTTCGCGCCATGCACTTTGGTCATTCAGTTTTGGCATGCAGGCAGAAAGACAATAAGATAAAACGGAACATTTAGAGACAACTCTTGGTCTGGCATCGTCGTTGTAATAACGTTATTCGTCATCCTTCCCTCATGTTTCCTCTCCCTCTCCCCCATTCTCGCCCTACCCTGCGAATTCGCCACCATCTTCAGTTTTTTTTGTGGAGTCTCATCCTAGGAGAGCCTCATGTAAGTCTCACCAAGGTTTCGAGGGCTTGTTGGGGCCTTCTGGACGCTTCATGGGTTCCTTCTTAGGGCTTCCTCGGGCCACCCTGCTTCCAGCCGCTGTCTCCCTGAACGACCGGGTCACGGCTGGGAATGATTCGGGAGGCGTCTTGGGACCATCTTGGGCCGTCATGGAGCTCTCTTCGGGTCATCTTGGGGCCCTGTTGGGCCGTCTCGGGGCTCCTCTTGGACTGCCTGGAAGCCCTTTTGATAAAAATTGGGGCGATGCTCTGGTCTCCTGGGCAATCTCGGACACCAGGAAAACCGAAGAATTGAGAATTCCCCGAATCATGCAAAAACCATAGGACATGGGTTTTCTTTGGGTTGTTCTCGGGCCATGGTGGGTGTGTGAGGCCTCTGTGGGCTCTCGTGAGGCAGTCCGGCCGCGCCCTGCTGACCGATTTGGGCCTGTTGCCTAGGCCTGGCAGGGGCTTCAGGGGCCCCAGGACCGTCTGCAAGGGTGTCCAGGGTACCCCCGGGGCCAAGGGTCCGGAAGGGTCCCGTGTAGGGGGGGGGGGCGCAGGGTCGACAGCCGCTGAGCTGGTTTCGCCCAAGGCTGGTTTCGCCCGGGGCTGGTTTCGCCCGGCTGGTTTCGCCCGTCGCTGGTTTCGCCCAGGCTCATTTCGCGCGACGCTGGGTTCGCCCAGGCTGGTTTCGCCCCGCTGGTTTCACCCGGCTGCTTTCGACCGGCTGTTGGAGGAGGTGCAGGAGGAGGAGGAGGAGGAGGAGGAGGAGGAGGAGAAGGAGGAGGAGGAGGAGGAGGAGGAGGAGGGAGGAGGGGGAGGAGGACGCGGGGGAGGAGGAGGAGGAGGAGCAGGAGGAGGAGGAGGAGGAGGAGGAGGAGAAGGAGGAGGAGGAGGAGGGGGAGGAGGAGGAGGAGAGGAGGAGGAGGAGGAGGAGGAGGGAGGAGGAGGAGGGGGAGGAGGACGGGGGAGGAGAGGGGGAGGAGGGGGAGGAGGACGAGGAGGAGGAGGAGGAGGAGGAGGAGGAGGAGGAAGGGAGGAGGGGGAGGAGGGGAGGAGGAGGAGGAGGAGCGAACGAACCCCAGGAGGAGGAGAGAGGAGGAGGAGGAGGAGGAGGAGGAGGAGAAGGATTCTCCCGCTCGCGCGCTAGCGAGCTGTCTCCGAGCGCGGCCGCGGCTCGCGCGCGCGGGGCGGCCCAAAATGGGCAGGCCCGTCCCGCGCGCTCGTGCCGGGGCGCCGCGCGTCAGGCGGGGGAGACCGCCTGCTCGCCGACGACGGCGAGGCAGCGCCCATCAGCCTTAGATTGGGAGAGGAGGGAGGGGGGCAGAGAAGCTGCGGAGACAGCAGGAGCTTGCTCACAGAGAATAGAAGAGGCATTCTCCCGCTCGCGCGCTAGCGAGCTGTCTCCGAGCGCGGCCGCGGCTCGCGC